GATAATAATTTATTACAGAAACCTAAGCTGAGATACCCCCTAACCATATTAAATGCATATTTATCACAAAATATGACTCCTCTGGTGAGATATTGCGCATGCGCTAACATACTAACATAGCCGGATTGTGCACTGGCTAGTATATGCGGCAGGGACCTTACATGCAAGGTCTTCTTCGTCTTTCTTACGAGAAGTCTACAAATGGAATTTTATTATATAAATCTATGCTAGAATACCTCCTCTTCATTTTAAATGCATAATTTTTGCAATATATTCTTTTTCACGGGAGATATTGCGCATGCGCGAGCGCCGTTTCAGGCGAGCAGTATGGACTGAAGAAAAGGGCATAATATAGCTTGCTAAGAGAGCGAGAAGGATGGGAAACTGAGGAAAAGCGGGAGGCAAGATAGCTGGGGGCGGTAGAAGAAGGAGAAGACTGAGCGAGGGACAAGGGAGGCAAGAGAAAGGACGGGAGGGGATGAAATCGGAGTTTTGCACCCCACAGGCTAGGGCGCTATCATAATTATAAACACATATCTACTGATAATAATTTATTACAGAAACCTATGCTGAGATACTCCCTGACCATATTAAATGCATATTTATCATAAAATGTAACTCCTCTGGTGAGATATTGCGCATGCGCCAACACACTAACATAGCCAGATTGTGTACTGGCTGGTATATGCGGCGGGGACCTTACATGCAAGGTCTTCTTCGTGTTTCTCAAGAGAAGTCTACAGATAGAATTTTATAATAGAAATCTATGCTAGAATACCTCCTCTTCATTTTAAATGTATAATGTTTGCAAAATATTGTTTTTCTCGGGAGCTATTGCGCATGCGCGAGAACCGTTTCAGGCGTGTAGTACGGACTGAACAAAACTGCATAATATAGCTTGCTGAGAGAGCGAGAGGGGTGGGAGACTGAGGAAAGGCGGCAGGCAAGATAGCTGGGGGCGGTAGAAGAAGGAGAAGGATGAGCGAGGGACAAGGGAGGCAAGAGAAAGAATGGGAGGGGATGAAATAGGATGTTTGCACCCCACAGGCTAGGGCGCTATCCTAATTATAAACACAGATCTACTGATAATAATTTATTACAGAAACCTATGCTGAGATACCCCCTAACCATATTAAATGCATATTCATCATAAATTGTGACTCCTCTGGTGAGATATTGCGCATGCGCTAACACACTAACATAGCCAGATTGTGTACTGGTTGGTATATCCGGAGGGGACATTAACATGCACGGTCTTCTTTGCCTTTCTTAAGGGAAGTCAACAGATGGAATTTTATTATATAAATCAATGCTTGAATACCTCCTCTTCATATTAAATGCATAATTTGTACAACATCTTCTTCTTCTCGGGAGATATTGCGCATGTGCGGCGAGCGCCGTTTCAGACGTGCAGTACGGACTGAAGAAAACTGCATAATATAGCTTGCTAATAAGAAAGCGAAAAGTGTGGAAAACTGAGGAAAAGCGGCAGGCAAAGTAGCTGGGAGCGGTAGAAGAAGAAGAAGGCTGAACGAGGGACAAGGGAGGCAAGAGAAAGGACGGGAGGTGATAAAATATGAGTTTTGCACCCCACAGGCTAGGGCGCTCTCCTAATCATAAACACAATTCTACTGATAATAATTTATTACAGAAACCTAAGCTGAGATACCCCCTAACCATATTAAATGCATATTCATCACAAAATATGACTCCTCTGGTGAGATATTGCACATGCGCTAACATACTAACATAGCCGGATTGTGCACTGGCTAGTATATGCGGCGGGGACCTTACATGCAAGGTAGTCCTCGTCTTTCTTACGAGAAGTGTACAAATACAATTTTATAATATAAATCTATGCGAGAATACCTCCTCTTCATTTTAAATGCATAATGTTTGCAAATATTGTTCTTCTCGGAAGATTGCGCATGCGCGAGAACCGTTTCAGGCGTGCAGTACGGACTGAAGAAAACTGCATAATATAGCTTGCTAAGAGAGCGAGACGGGTGGGAGACTGCGGAAAAACGGCAGGCAAGATAGCTGGGGGTGGTAGAAGAAGAAGCAGGCTGAGCGAGGGAGGCAAGAGAAAGGACGGGAGGGGATGAAATAAGAGTTTTGCACTCCACAGGCTATGGCGCTCTTCTAATCATAAACACAGGTCTACTGATAATAATTTATTACAGAAACCTATGCTGAGATACCCCCTAACCATATTAAATGCATATTTATCACAAAATATGACTCCTCTGGTGAGAAATTGCGCATGCGCTAACATACTAACATAGCCGGATTGTGCACTGGCTAGTATATGCGGCAGGGACCTTACATGCAAGATCTTCTTCGTCGTTCGTAAGAGAAGTCTACAGATGGAATTTTATTATATAAATCTATGCTAGAATACCTCCTCTTCATTTTAAATGCATAATGGTTGCAACATATTCTTCTTCTCGGGAGATATTGCGCATGCGCGAGCGCCGTTTCAGGCGTGCAGTATACGGACTGAGGAAAACTGCATAATATAGCTTGCTCAAAGAGCGAGAATGGTGGAAAACTGAAAAAAAGCGAGAGAGCTGGGGCGGTAGAAGAAGAAGAAGGCTGAGCCAGGGACAAGGGAGGCAAGAGAAAGGACGGGAGGTGATAAAATAGGAGTTTTGCACCCCACAGGCTAGGGCGCTCTCCTAATTATAAACACAGGACTACTTATAATAATTTTATTACAGAAACCTATGCTGAGATACGCCCTAACCATATTAAATGCATATTCATCACAAAATATGACTCCTCTGGTGAGATATTGCGCATGCGCTTACATACTAACATAGCCGGATTGTGCACGGGCTGGTATATACCGCGGGAACCTTACATGCAAGATCTTCTTCGTCTTTCTTAAGAGAATTCTACAGATGGAATTTTATCATATAAATCTATGCTAGAATGCCTCCTCTTCATTTTAAATGCATAATTTGTGCAACATATTTTTCTTCTCGGGAGATATTGCGCATGCGCGAGCGCCGTTTCAGACGTGCAGTACTGACTGAAGAAAACTGCATAATATAGCTTGCTAAGAAAGCGAGAAGAGTGGAAAACTGAGGAAAAGCGGAAGGCAAGATAGCTGGGGGTGGTAGAAAAAGAAGCAGGCTGCGCAAGAGAGGAATGAGAAAGGACGGGAGGGGATGAAATAGGAGTTCTGCACCCCACAGGCTAGGGCGCTCTTCTAATCATAAACACAGGTCTACTGATAATAATTTATTACAGAAACCTATGCTGAGATACCCCCTAACCATAATAAATGCATATTCATCACAAAATATAACTCCTCTGGTGAGATATTGCGCATGCGCTAACATACTAACATAGCCGGATTGTGCACGGGCTGGTATATACCGCGGGGACCTTACATGCAAGGTCTTCTTCGTCTTTCTTACGAGAAGTGTACAAATACAATTTTATAATATAAATCTATGCTAGAATACCTCCTCTTCATTTAATTCTACAGATGGAATTTTATATTTGGATATTTTTAGTGTCGTAAATATCGTCTGTATACATTATTGGCTGGATTGAATTTCATTAGTGTTATGTCATCCGGAGAACACGGCATCCTATCGTTACTAAAGGGATTTTAAATTATAAAGGGATTTCTTTAAATTTATATTACATGTCA